GGGTGTATGGGGGACTAACGGGAGGGGAGGGCAAAAGGAACGAGTGTGAAGTAGTGGAAAGTAAGGAGAGAGAGAGAAGGAGGGTGCAGGGTAAGTGTGAGGGGAGAAGGTGTTATAGAGTGGGGGAGAGTGAAGGGCAATGCAGAGAGGAGAAGAAAAGGCCAGTGAAGGGGAGACTGTGAGGAGAGAAGGGGTGCAGAGAGGATCAAGGGAGCAAGCAGCAGCCCGGGGTCGGAACTGAAGGCCAGTGGGCCTCGGAGTCCTAGGCTCCTGAGTCCTGGCTGCCTGGGATTCAGGTCTGGATCTGAGTCCAGTCTGTGATAGGCTCGCTGACTCCGCCTTGAGGTAATGTCTGGTGGTAAGAACCCACTCTGTTGGGCCGTGGAAGAAAGGCTTGGCCATCTATTTTTGTAAAGATTACAGCCAAGAAAATCCTATGGAACTCAGTTCTCCTCTATAACATATGGAGTCACCATGTGTTGGAATTGAGTCCATGACAACGGGTCTCAGGGGAAGCACTCTCTGCAGTTGATTGACTGAGAGAAGCAGCATCCTAGAAAGAAGTCCCACAGGGAGCCTGCAGATTCGTTTTGCCTGGTCTTTAATGTCATATATTTGGAATTGTTTAGCATGTGATGTTTTGCATCCGGTCTCCTTCACTCCATTTCACATTCTTTGATTAGTTTTCTGTATTGTCCATACCCCTCCTTCTTCAGTGTTTTCCGTCAGGGAAACCCTCTCTGTGTCTGTCCAGTGGCGGCCACAAGGGAGCAGCAGAGGCTGAGAAAAGCCTTGTGAGCCTGTGGGGCTGTCTTTCTAGTGCCCTCAGGTTAACTCTGGCAGCTTCCCTCCCTGAGAGCTGTGGCTTTAGGGAGGATTTCTGGAGCAGAAGTATGGAGCAAGGTCTTAAAAGTCTTTTGATCATGCACTGCTTTCCGTAATACATTGTGAACCTGCAGCTTCCAAATATGTACTAACAATATACAGATTATAAAAATGAACATAAAAAACGAATTAAAAGATTTAAGATTAAATCTTATATAAATAGAAAAGTGAATGATTTCTGCACTCCTCATCACCCCCATGGATCCCTGGGGCATCCGTGAGCCGGTGTGAAGCTTGGCTGAGCTGTGGGGAGGGCCTGGCTCCTGGTAGGGCTCGGTCACGTGGCTGTGTGACCCTGGGCAGGCTTCCTCATATCGTTGAGCTTCTATCTTCTCAGCAGTAAAATGAGGAAAGTAAGAACTGCTTCCCAAGATTATAAGCCTTCATTGAAATAAGTATGCAAATTTCAGAGGAAAATGGCGCATGGTGAATAGCAGGCCTGAGTATTTGGCAATGTTCATTAGAGAGCAGACACCCTGGCCTCAGAGCTCAAGTGTCAGTTCTGCCTGTAGAAACACGGCTCCATGAAAGGAGAGGAAAATGGTGCCTGCTGCCCTGGGGTCTGTTAGAACTGCCTCTGAGTGTTGGACAGGGCCTCTTCTGTCTCCAGTAGGCCAGGCCTGTCTCCCTCTGATTCTCTCAGGGACAGAGGGCTAAAGGTAGATGTCCTCAACCTTTCCACATAACTTGGTCTTCAAATCCCTCCCACCAGCCCTTGCCTGTTCCACCCTTGACCATGGCTGGGCCTGTCCTACATTAGATTGGGAGGGTCAGTAAGTTCTTCTCAGATCACTGACTGGATCACTCATAATCGACAGTACCCGGGCCAGCTTGCTCTCTGGAACTCATGTACTTGACATCTCTGTGACTGGAGAGAGTGTTCAGGACCCCCTGAGCAGAGACATGGTCCATTTTGGCCTCTCAGCCCCAGATATGGCACAGTTCAATGCCAGGAGGACACATCCTTCATTTTTTTCTTCTGTTCTCCCTCCTTTACCTTTTCTTTCTTACACTATCTTTCTCTCTCCATCTTTTTTCTTTTGTTTTTCATTATTTTTGTTGCTTATCAGTCTAAACAAGTTTAATTAGAGTTTCTATATGAAAGGTCATTTTCCCTCCTGCCTCACACTTTTACCTCCATATGTCTCTGGGACTGGGTGTGAACGACACCTCCTCATCTCTCCTGTAGTCTCAGACTTGGGATGCAGGATTGGTGCCCATTCAGACGGTGATGGGGCAAGTTTCATGGGCCAGGAGGGCTCTGCCACAGACCTCTGGGTGGGACGGGGGCAGACCTGGATACCAGGGAGTGAGGGGCATAAGGAGGTCCCTGAGCCACTCTTGTATGGATATTTCAGTTAAGGAAGTGACAGCCTCAACTGGGAGCGACTCTCCCCACCAGAGGGGCAGGTGGGCAGGTGCAGAGGAAAGTGAGGGCCCTGCTCTGCCTACTGGGAGTCTCTTAGCAGCTGCCAGGTCAGCGTTAAACCCTCCAGCTGGGGTTATAATGTTTGAAAGGGCAGAAAGAAAAAAATAAATTAAAACAAACCCCATTAAATTATGTGTAATGTTATTTTTTCTTTTCATTTTTTTCTCCCAGAAAACGAGCAGAAATTTGTGCTATACTAGGAGATAACCCAATGAACCCTGAATCTTAAGAGTGTGAAGGTAAGTTAACTCATATAAGTTTTTATCAGGCTGGACCTTGGAGAAAAGGCATGGAATCCTTTCCATCAACTTTCACATGTTAAACCCACAATACATTTTACATTAACCATTGTTTTCTGGTCCAGGTATTTGTCTGAAACTATTTTGAAAGCACTTGAAACAACTAAAAGATAAGCGGTTTGCATGTCGGTTAGAAAGGAAAGTAAAACATTAACCCTATTAGCATTCAGATAATTTGTATGTTCAGCGAGGCACACTATTTGTAGCTTCGTGAACAGTGGTTATTGTCACAAACGCTGGGAACACGACTCTGATGAGGTTGTGTTCATCAGGGCACTGAGCGTGCTTTTCGAGGTCCTTCCTGCCAGCCCCCCAGTGTTCTTCAAGAGAATCTAACCTATGCTCTGTGCTTCCCCTCCCAGTGTTGGAGCTCAGTGGGTCAGGATTCAGTGTGAGATAAGCTTTCTGGTCACATGTGGGGCATTCCAGAGTCCATGGTTCCCTGGAGCTCCTGTTTTGTGCTGGCATGTCTGGAGCTGGAAGCTGGGCTGGGCTTGAGGCCTGGGAGTGGTGTAGGGAGGGCAGTCTCCTCTTCCTTCTAACCTCTCATCCTCTAGAAAGTTCCTGGATTAAATGTTCCTAGATGACAGGGCTCATGTGTCACTTCAACTATTTGCCTCAGAGTGCCTAACTCGTAAATGGTTAATATACCTTTGACAAATTGTTGAATTTACAGCAAAATTTATACATTTTTCCAGAAGTTTTGAGTGGATTGAGACGGATTTGAAAACCCCTTTCCTTTGTAGGGGCAAGGCTACCTCCCAGAAGTGGCAGCTGAGAGAATGAAATGAAATAAAAATTATTTGCGTAGGCCAGCTCCTGGCACTTAGATATTCAATACGATTTTGTTTTCTGACCTCTGTATTTTCATAAAATTTTTCTAGTGTCTGTTAGGTCTTTATCACAGGGAATGGGGTGGCAAAATGGGTGGGGGTCAGTGGCTGTATCAACTCTAATTGCATGTGGATTTGGAGGATAATATTTTTACTTGTCTTATTAGTTACTTTTGGTTTAAAATGGAATTAACAAATATTCTTACATGTAAGTGGGTACTGGCAGAAATGGACCCTTTGGGGATCTGTTCAGGTATATCCAGAAGTTCTCACCTTGCCCTCAGTTGTGATATCACCACGCTGACTTCTGAGCAGAAATCAAGCATCTCCATGAGTGCTCCAATGAAGACAAATGTAATGGGTCATTCAGAACAACCAGAAAGACAGCATAGGCCGATAGAGATTTTGCTGGATGTGTGCTTGTAAAACGCTAAGAAATTTGGTTTTCTCATCTGTAAAATGAGGCTGATAATGAGGACTGAATGGCTGTACCTAAGATGATTGGTGATATTAAAATATTATAGTGCAATATATATATCACCTGTTAATATATAAAATATATGGTAATAATATATTAAGTATTAACTATCAGTAGTTTGCTGTCTTTTCAGAAAGGCAGGGCCATAGTCCTGGAGCAGGTCCTGGAAGCTGTCGATGGGCACAGTGTTAACTCCTTGGTTGCCAGATTGTGGGGAGGTCCCAGATCACCTGTGGGTGAAGACAAAGAAAACCAATCACACTAGATGCTGTTGAAGGGCTTGGGCGTGGCTCCTTTTCTCAACTGGCTCAGAAACACTTGGCGTTAGCAGACTGTAGAGACAGACCTGTGCATAAACCAAAAAACCCCAGTCGTCTTCAAGTTGATAGTGACTCATGGCAACCCCTTGTGTTGCAGAGTAGAACTGCTCTCCATAGTGTTTTCAAGGCTGTGACCTTTTGGAAGAGATGCCCAAGCCTGTCTTCCGAAGTGGCTCTGGGTGGGTTGGAACAGCCAACCTTTCTGTTAGTAGTGGAACACTTAACCGTTTTTGCTACCCAGGGACTCCTGACCTATGCACAGAACTGGGTGTTAGTCATGGCTGTGCCCACATACAGTCCCTACTTCCTGAAGCCAGAAGCCAGCTGGCAGATAGTAGGGGTTGAACAAATGGTTTCTGAGTCTGTGCCTCTGTGTGGCCCCTTTTGCTGTTTTACTGCTGTGATAATGCTGCTTCCTGCTTGATAACAGACAGCACTGTCCAGAGGGCAGGGCAGAGTCTGCTGGGCTACTTTCTGCAAGCTTTCACTTTCAGATGGTGGAAGGGCCAGAGGGAACAGGGTGATTATTCTCGCTGGAAGCGCTCTATGGGGGCCCAAAGTGGGGTATCTGCAGATATCTCTTTAACTGAGGCCGATCCTACTTCTTTGGTGGTACTGGGAACCACCTGCCTCTCAGAGATGGGGGACCCTGGTCCCACAGTGTCTGACCCGGAAGCGAGGACTGGGGCTCCCAGAGCAGCTAACAGCAGGTACAAACTCTGAGGGCAGATTTGGGGTCTGCCAGGGTCCCTGCAGCCCTGAACCTCCTGGAGCTGCTGAGTTTAGAGACACTCCAGGAGGTCACAGACTTTCAAAGCTGGAACCAGGAGAAGCAGGTGAGTTGGCTGTGTAGACGCCTGTGGGCCACGGGGAAGAGCCAGGTAGCAGCTGACTGCGAGGAGGGGGCTGAGAATGTGTGTGTGTTTGGGACTGGACCACAGTCTGCTCTAAGAAGACTGAGGACAACCCCAGTGAGGCTTGCACCTTTATTCATTTATTTTAAAGATGTTTATGTAGCACTTACTAGGACCAGGCCCTATTCTCGTCACTTGTAGTAACTCTACAAACATAAATTCATGTAATCCTCATTACAACCCCTAAGAGTATCAAGGGAGTTATTGTTAATATCCTCATTTTGCAGATGAGGAAACCAAGACAGATAAGGTCAGTAACTTGCCTAAGGTGGTCACACAGTGAGTGACTGAGCCCAGAGGAGAGCCTAGCATTTGAGTCTGTGCTTTCCTGACCATATGCTGCCTCCTCTCACCTCACGTGCAGCAGGTGGTTTGGGGTCTTTTCTTGACAAGGGCTCATTTTTTCTTCTCTCCTGCTTAGCCTCCAACTGGGTTCTTTTAGCTGTTAGCCAGAAGTCTCACCTCAAATACAGAGTGGGCAAGGATATACTGCCAGTGGGGAATTGACTAGGCCCCAACTGGAAGAAGGGAGGTATAGGGAGGGGTTGAAATGCAGGTGAAGCAAAGAAACACACTTAACAGGGCAGGGCGTCTGTGATGGGAGCTGCTGTCTCTCTGAGGATGCTGTCTGTCTCTGATGCTTCTCAGGTGACTCCCTGTTCACAGTCAAGGAGGACAGAACAAGGAGCAGCAGAAGCTGGCATGTCCACTGTGTCCGGGGGGCCTGCATCAGGGTCCTCTGACCTGGGGTGAGGGAGAGGCTGTGAGAGTCCTGGAGATGGAGGGAAGTTCTCCCTGAGGGGCACCGGTGCTGAGGAAGGAAGGCCTGATGTCTGAGCAGTGGGGCTGCGGTGTGCATGTTATTGGGGTGGGAAGGGAAGGAGTGGTTTGTTTCCAGGTCAACTTATCGGTTGTCTGACACCACAGAGTCTCCTCAGAATGGCTGGCAGGAGCCTGGCTGAGTCTTTTCTTGGTATCAGTGTTGGTGGGGCCTACCATCCAGTTAGCAAGTAGGAAGTGTTGTGCTCCTCTCAGAGGCCGAGCTGTGGATGGGCTGCCTCCTGTCTGGGGTCCCTGACTCTTGCCCTGTCTCTCTTCAGCTCTGAAGAAATGGAGGGGGACTTCAGCAGGTCTTTGCTCTGCCATCTCACTTCACTCTTGCTCTTCTTCCAGCTGTCCATGAAGGGGTCTACCGGTGAGTGCTCCACATCCCTCTGTCTGCGTCTCCCTGTGGTGTGTGGGAACCATAGGTGAGCTGCTGGTTCTGTCCACCAGGAGAGATGGAGATAGTGGAGACACCCCCACCCCGGGAGATTATGGTGCCCTCACTAATTGTAGTTAAAAATTAAAAAAAAAAAATCCCTAAACCATAAATTAGTATAAAAAATTCTGACAATTGTCTCACCACGACCTCTTTAATGTTTAGAAGAGCCAAATAGATGATATTATGAAATAACTTTCCCACATGTCCCTGCTTTACTAACGTCCTAAGCAAACATGCACGCATGCATTAGTTCACTTTATTCCCCCCATGCTCATGGGGGGTCTCCTATGGCTTAGGTGTTGCTCCATGAACAGAACAGTCGGAGACTTTCTGTCTTCACAGAGCTTACATTCTAGCAGGAGGCAGTGATATTAAATGTAATAAACCAAGAAAAACTGTAGTGTGTTAGAGGAGATTAGTGCTATGGGACAATGAAGTAGAGCAGGTACCAGCAGTGTTGGTGGTCGTGGTGGGGGAGGGTAGAAGAAGTGTGGCGTGGGCAGGCAGCAGTGCTCATTAGGGTGGTCAAGAAAGAGAGATGTGGACTAAGACTTGGGAGAGGAGGGGAGTGAGCATGAGGATCACTGGGGATAGAGGGTTCTTGCAGGAAGTGTCAGCCAGTGCCTAGCTGGCAGAGTGCCTGGTGGTTCAAAGAACAACAAGAGGTGAGTGTTGGTTGCAGCAGAGGGAGTGACGGGGAGGGAAGCAAGAGTCTAGGTCAGAGCGGTCCTGGGGGAAAACCCCATAGGGCCTGTGGGTCGCTGGTGGAAACTGAGGAGCCATTGCAGGGCCTTGAGCAGATTTGGGCCCTGACATGTTGTGGTTCACACAATAAAAGGCTTACTCTTGGCTGCCATGTAGAACATAGACAGTGGGGGCGGGATGAGGGTAGACGGGGAGACCAGTCTGCTGCTGTCCTCCAGGGAGGAGACAATAGTGGCTCAGGCCAGTGTTGAGCAGTAGAGAAGATGGTATTTGGGAATCTAGAGTGACTTGCCCGCAGAGGAGCCAAATTGTAACCCATCCAGGTCAGAATTCCGAGGGTGACAGACCAAGTGTGCCTTCTTCTGTAACAAGCAGTGATTGAGGCTCTTGGGAGCCATGGGAGTGAGCGCAGGTTTTAAACAGAAATAGCATTTGACTCTGGGTTTTAAGTGCACGTATAATTCAGTGTAAGAGAAAGATATGGGCACAAATAATGAAAGGTAGGCGTGGGAGTGGGCAATTTCCTGGTGGTGGCTGAACGAGTAGAGTTCAGACCCAGGTTTCTGGTAGCCTCTGGTCAATTTTCAGTCCTGTCCTGAGACGGGGCTGTGGTTCTCAAAATGTGGTCCCTGAACCAGCATATCCGCATCCCTGGAACTCTTTGTTGTTGTAGTGATTAGCTTCTGTAAGTTGGCCCTGAGTCATGGTGACCATATGAACAATGAACCAAAAGCTGCTCTGTCTACATGGGAAGCTAGACTTGTACCATTGACTCACCAACGCCTTGGGGGAACTCCTTAGAAATGCACATTTTAGACCTCCCCTAGACCTACTGAACTAGAAATTTTGGGGATGAGGTCCAAGATCTGAGTTTTACAACCCTGTGGGTGATTCTGAAGCACACTCAAGCTTGAGAACCAAGGAGTTAAAGAGTGTTTCACAGAAGAGCCTAGGACCAGGTGCTCCGCCACATGCGTGTGGCCCTTTGACATCATTTCTTCACCATGATGTTGTGGTCAGAATATCTCTCTGCATTCAGAGTCCTCACAGCTCATTCCTTCAGGAGCTGGGGGTCATCTCCAATGTTTACCTGATAGTGTGTATTCTCCTACCCTCTGCCTTTGTCTCTCCAGCTTTCTCACTCTCATGTTTTGTCCACAGACGGGTTCCTGGTGATTGGCCCCACAGACCCCATTGTGGCAGTGCTGGGCAGGGACACCATGCTGCCCTGCTCCCTGTCCCCAGCTATGAGTGCAGAGAACATGGAGCTGCGGTGGTTCCGTTCCAAGTTCACAGAAGCAGTGTTTATCTATCAGAACCAGCGGGAGCAGAAGGAGGGGCAGATGCCACAGTACGCAGGAAGGACCTCCCTGGTGAAGGACTTCCTCACCCAGGGGGTGGCTGCTGTGCGCATTGACAAGGTCCGGATTTCTAACAATGGGCAGTACACATGCTTCTTCAGAAAGGGAGGTTTCTTTGAAAAGGCTACTTTGGAGGTGAAGGTGGCAGGTTGGTGACTTGTTCTATATTTTCTAGAGTCTTGGAGTTTTGGAGTTGGGAGCAACCTCAGGGACGATTTAATTCAGCCTCTCATTTTATAGATGCAGAAAAGGGGGCTCGTTCCTTCATTTATTCAGTATAAATAATGTAGAGCCCGTACTATGTGCCAGGCCCTGTTCTAGGTGCCTAGGATACGTCAGTGAACCAAACAGAGATCCCAGCCCTGTGGAGTTCATATTCTAAATGCAGAGATAGAAAAGTCACAATCTGTTATAGGTGATGTTAGAAGGTGATAAGTTCTGAGAATGAAAGACAAAGTAGAACAGGGAAAGGGGATCAGGATGTGGGCATGGGGACTGGAATTGGGACTGGGCTAGGCCTCTTTGAGAATGTGCTATCTGAATAAATGCTTGAAGAAAGCAGGGATTTAGCTAAGTGCATATCTGGGGGATGAGAATTCCAAACAAAAGGAAGAGCCAATGCAAAGTCCCTAAGATGGGAATGTGGCCGGTGTGTTCTGGACACACATGGAGGCCTTATGGATGGCTGGTGGGAGTGAATGAGGGACAGGATTGTAAGAGGCGTCCATACCGGACAAAGTGACATTCCTGGTATAGGTTGCACAGAGAAGGGACTGGTTAATGCTGCCTGGGGCCATCATGAAAAGTGCCCTAGGGAGTAGATACTTAAGCTGGCAGATCAGTTCATCAGGCAAGTTTCCACTGAGCCCTCCAGGTTGAGTGACTGAAGTTGAAAAGGCAGGGGGCACACAGAGCAAGATGTGGTTAATAGCAAGTAACCAAATAGCCCTTGGGACTGGAGTACGTGGGACCTGAGGGGCACAGGTGGTAGGGGTTGGGGGGGATTTGAGAGAAGGGGTTGGGGAGGAAGACAGACGTCTTCTATGATCTCAGAGAAGGCTTTAGGCTTTCTGTGTTATGTTGTGGAGTTTGGATGCAGAGCTGAGGAAATATTAAGCAGACCAATGCTGTGAATGCTCACTCTGACAGCTGTGAGGAGGACGGATGTGAAGGAGAAAGGCTGAAAGTACAGAGTGTAGTTATGAGGTAGAGAGGATGACTGCCTGACCTCAGGCAGTGGCAGCAAGGTGGGAGAGTAGGGGTCAGATATTAAAGAGATTTGGAAAGTAGACCTAACTGAGGAAGTCGATTTGGTAATATAAGAGTTTGGAGGGGAAGAGGGAACCACAGAGATTCCCAGGGTTTTGCCTTGGCTGTCTAGTTGTAGGAATATTGATTATTATGTATCAATTACCTATCACCATAATAATGCTACGTAACAATCAGTCGCAAAATCTCAGCAGTGTAAAGCAATAAACATTTATTTAATTTGAGCACTTATAGAGTTCAACTGATCTAGGCTGGGCTAGGCTAATCTCTACTGGACTCATCCATACATTTTTGGTCAGTGAAAGAGGTCACCATGTGGACCTTGAATGGGAGACAACTGGCTGGTCTCAGATAGCTTCAGCTGAAAGGCTGGGGTAACAAGGCAATGTTCCCAGAGTCTCATCGTCCTGCAGGCTAGCCTGAGCATGTCCCTCCCACGGATAGTAGAGGGCTCAATGGTGAAGCAGTTTTCAAACATTTGCTTATGTCACACTTGCTGATTTCTCACTGGCCAAATAAAGTCACATGACCTATGCAAGAGTAAGAGTGGGAGGGCACTAGAAAGTGATGTGGCAAACAGCAGGTGGATGTAAAGAAGGTGAAGACCCAGGGCTATACTTGGAATCAATTTAGCACAGATAGGGCAAAATTATGAATTCTGTTCTGCAATTTTGATTTTGAGGTGTGTAGGAGGAATCCATGTAAAGATAACCCATTAGGATTCGGTTATAACGAAGGGGAATTTGGGAAACAGAGATGCTTAATTGGTATAATTTTGGAAGTGATTTAATGGGAAGCGGTGGGAACAAAAAGAAGCCAGGGAAACAGTATGATGTGAGAAGAGTGGAGATTCAAGGACAAAACCCTGAAAAGACTCCTGCCTGTAAGGAGTTGGGGGGAGGAAGAAAAGTCCAGGAAAGAGGCTAAGCAGAGTGATCTGAGAGGTGACAAACGAAGCAGAATGGGGGGGTGACCAAGCCAAGATGGAGCCCGTTTCAAGATGCAGTCAACAGTGTCTCAGGCCGAAGGGAGACTGAGGAAGAAGGGCTGCAGGGTGACTTCTGGGCTGCCAAGTAGGAGATTTTTGTTAACTCACCAAAAACAGACTCAATGGAGTAGTAGAAGTAAGACTGTTGGGGGTTGAGAACTAGGTGAGAGTTGAGAACATTGAGGTGTTTATGGATTATAAAGCTTACTCTTCTAAGAAGGGGAGAAGGAGACTGTAAAAATTGGAACATGTTTATGTGTTTAGGAAAAGAAGTAGGTGGAGAAGAAGAGATTAACAACAAGGATGATACAGGGAGGAGTGGGACCCCTGGTGGGGCAGCAGTTAAAACCTTAGGCTGCAAACCAAAAGGTCAGCAGTTTGAGCCCACCAGCTGCTCTGCAGGAGAAAGATGTGGCAGTCTGCTTCCTTAAAGATTTACAGCGTTGGAAAGCCTATGAGGCAGTTCTACTTTTTCCTATAGGGTCACTATGAGTTGAAGTCGACTTGCCAGCAGTGGGTTTCTGAGTGGGTAGGGAGCAGAGAATGAAGAGAGAGGAGAGAAGAGAGGAGAGGAAAGGGAGGTGATAATTGATGGGACCAGGCCTTAGAATAGATGGTGACCTCTGGGTTTCAGAGCACAGGGAAACAATTATCCTTGAGCAAGGGAGATCTCCTCTCACTTGGTGTCAGTAAGACGAGAGTAAGATCAGTTTGGATGAAGAACACTTCGTGGGTAATTAAGGCAAAACAAAAAAACAAAACGCATAGATCTCTTAATTTCAGATATTTCCTACTTGCTAGAGTAAGTCCAACAAAGAGTTTCAATAAACCTTATGGCCTAGTTTAACTTTTGCTCTTGAAAAGTTTTTAGAATGACACCATCTTATTTCTCCCGACCTGGTCTGGAGTTTAGTCCTTTGATTTGTCTCCTGGGCTGCATCTCAAGAAAAGAGGTTTGAAAATTCTTCTTTTTTCTCTGTGTCTCAGTCTTTCCACCTGAGTGGTTGGAAAGAACAGTCCCCACCTTCAGAGCTCCTAAAGAAGCCACATGCTCCATTCATCCTTGGTTACCTGCGGTGGGGCCTCAGCCCCGCCACCACTAGGGGGGGGTCTTATCCGTAGAACCTCCTGAGTGGAAGTCGAATGGCTTTCTACCTGTCATGGTGCCAGCTTCCCGGGACTACACCTGAGACAAAGCGGCCTTCTGGGCTCCACAGCTTCTCTCCCTCAGGTGTGGGCTCTGCCCCTGAAATGCGCATCGAAGGACCGGAGGAAGATGGGGTCCGCGTGGCCTGTACGGCCTCCAGGTGGTTTCCGGAGCCCCAGGTTCAGTGGAGGGACCTTAGTGGAGAGAAGTTCCTGGCTTTCTCTGAGGCTCATGCCCAAGACTCTGATGGGTTGTACCGCGTGGAGGCCTCGCTGGTGGTGAGAGACAGCTCTGCTGGGAACGTGACCTGTTCCATCCTCAACCCCATCCTGGGCCAGGAGAAGGTGAAGGCCATTTTCATCCCAGGTCAGTGCTGTTCCTGCTCACAGCAGGGCTGGAGGGAAGGGAACAGGGTACTGGGTGCGCTGGGCTGGGCTGGCCTGGGTGCACCCTGACGCAGTCTCTGGCTGGGCCGCAGAGCCCTTCTTCCCCCAGGCCTCTCCCTGGAAGCCGGCTTTTGCTGTGAGCCTGATCTTCCTGTGTCTCCTCATCCTTGGGGCTGGCTATTTTCTCAAGCAAGAACATTCAGCAAAGGTGCAGGCGCGGCAAAAACAGGAAACTCTTCAGCAGGCTCAGGAGGAGGACAGGCAGAAAACGGAGGAGGCACAGAAGGCAAGAGGCAAGGCAGGGGAGGGGCGAGGCTGGGTGAGGGCAGAGCTGGTGCTGAGAGGGAAAGCTGACAGCAGGAGCAGAGCCCTTGGCTGCAGCCTCCAGGAAGACCCAGGTCCCCTGCCCAGAGCAGGAGGCTCAGGAGATCCAGAGAGGGCAGCTTGGCTGTGGAGGCTTGGCTGAGTCTGGAGGGAGAACTTTCTCCAGCATATGGAGAGGGTCTTTCTCTGGGTTTTCCAGGCACACCATCTTTTCCTTTTCTTAGGATAGGAGTTCATGCTTATTATTATTATTATTTTTCCTCTCTTTCAGATGAACTCCAAGCAGAGCTGGGTAAGTTCTTCTCTCCCTACTGAACTCTCTGTGTCCCATTTGGGAGACATTAGTGCTCTTAGCTCACCTCATTTCCTGTGTGTTGCCTTGCAGACGGGAGGAAGGCTGTTTACCAGGCTGGTGAGTAACTCTCTAGATGTCCCTGGGTCTCCCGTCCCACCTGTGCCCAGGTGTCCCATCTCCCCATGTCTCTCTGGCATAGACATGAGGACCTCATTCCATGGGGGCAGAAGTGAAAGGTGGTGGGGGAGGAATCCTGCTCCTGGGGCTCTATGATCTGGGCCTCTGCTTCCCTCCCAGTGGTGGGACCCTGAGGGTGGTGCAGAGACTTAGTGAGGGGGGAGGGCAGAGGGGAGCACTTGCTCCCCCCCTCCTGGGGCGCAAGTCCAAGCCGGCACAGAAGAGGTGTGGAATGACATTCCCAGGCACCACAAACATGAAAGGTGCCTGACTGAGGCAGCCAGACAAGAGGGTGTGGGTGTTTCTGCTGAGGTGTCACCGCTATCAACATCTATTCATCTTGAAATCGGGGGTGAGGTGGGGTGCAAATTAGAGACCGCCCCTGGGAGCTTGAATGGGGTGGGGGCAACTAAGAGATTGCCCCTGGGCACCTGTTACATCGCTACAGCTCTGGTGTGGTCTTGATCCCTGGAATCTGTAATGCATTGTGGGTTTTCTCATTCCAGCCCCTGTCTGTCCACTGTATTGTTAGTTTTCTAGCCTTCAATACACAAAGCTCTCATTCTGCACCCGGAAGCAAAAGGCAGATGCTCAGGGATTTCCTTTAAGGAGCTACATAAATAAATGGGGTCACTAAGTTTAGGGGTGTGACTTACTGGTTTCCCAAGAATCCTCTTCTCCGAGGGTGTCAGTCCTCTCAGGCTCCTGCAGGTGCTGATGGAAAAGTGATGGGGAGAGGACCGGAATGAGGAAGTAGGGAAATGTGATAATATGAGCTGAGTGCTCCCCAGGATACAGGTGTTATTATCTCTAGAAATATTTTTTTCCAAAATGGTTGGCCGCTTTTACCCTGGTCCTGGCCATGTACCTTTGTCCTTTTTCATTGCCCCCTTTGGAGGGAATAGATATTTTCCAGAAATACATTTGCAGAAAAGGACTGGTTATAACAATGCTTTCTTACAATTATGGAATAATTAATATTTTATTCTTCAAAATATCATCACTTTTTTTTTAATTCTTAGTGGAATGCAGGTAGAACAGGAGTTTTTGAGGTTCTTGAGGCACAGAACAGCTAAGTGACTTGTCCGAAGTCCCACAGCAGCAGCAGGATGGTGTGGAACTTGGACTGTAATCTCGGCTTCCTGACCTGTGGTCACGGGACTTTCCCACCATCCCTGGCCAGCTTTGCATGCTGCAGGAGTTCATCTCTTTTCCAGCATCTGTCTCCCTCTGGATAGGCACACCCTTAGGACAGAAGGGAGGATGGTAGCCAGTCATTTCACACTGAATCTGGCTGCAGTCTCAACAGGGTGTGTTCTCTTTCAGCCTGGAGGAAGGCCCAGTTGTATGCAGGTAAGAGACTCTAATTTTTCTGTGGTCTTACCTCCCTCAGCCCCAGGGGCTCTGCCTCAGCCTGGCCCTTCCTGTATCAGTGGACCCCACAGCAGGATAAGACTGGAATCTCTGCTCTCCTTATCACTTTCGTAGCCTCTCCCTTGAGACTGCAGCGACTCCTCCTTGAGTACACAGATCTGCCTCCTGTAGGGGTCCTTTCTCTACTGCAGGCTACTGTTCAGGTTAGCAACACTCGCTGAAAACATGTTGTTCACTTCATACTTCCAGTTAGTGCTATCAGTGACAATGGAGAGTTCAGTTGTCAGGAGGGACAGGAGCAGGGTAATAACTGTGCAGGTCAGGCATTGCTGGTCTCCAGAAGGTTTCAGAAACGACACTTGCCCGCTGAGGCTTCAGATGTTCCTTAGGGAGTCCTTGGTTCTAGATGCCTCTAGCCCTGAGAATCCTATCTTTTTGGATCCAGTTTTGATTTTCCCATTTCTTTTTGGTCCTGTGGCTATTGGTCTTCTCTTTGCTTCCTCATGCTCTGACTCCATGCCCTTGTTGAGTTTCTTCCTGTAAGTCTTCTTGGTTGCAGAAGAAATAGTCGCTTTAGAGCAGATGTTCTGAATCTGGGGTTCAGGTACCTCAAGATATTTATGGATGGGCCCCTGGATTGGGGTCTGTGAACCACCTGAAAATATATGAAAAATTCTGTGTATGTGTAACAAGAACAAAAATGTAATGTATAATTGTTCATAGCCATTATCTCCCCTTTTAGGAGAATTCTGTATTTGCCTAATGGGCTGAGTCCTAGGTTGAGCTAGTTAGGGGTAATGATTAAAGACTGCAAAAGGAGAAACCTAGAGAAATTAAAATTATTTACAAGAGAGAGAATGGGGAGCAAATCAGGGAAGAAAAGAATAGGTGGGGAAGGGGAGAGGAGATAAGAAAAGTAAAGGAGAGTGTGGGAGACACCTTGTGGAGGTTTTAGGCAGACCAGAATGGTCAAAGAGAGGCCAAAGTTCTTATTTATGGTGGTTGGATCTGGGGAGTTGCACAGATGGTTTGCAGGTCATTTGGGTGCATGACATGTAATCAACTCCCTAACACCTCTTTGAGAGATTTCAGTAAGGATTGCATTTGTTTTTAGCCATAAGATCATGCCAATCTTCCAGTGGATGGGAGGCCTTCGTGCAATGAAGGGTTATCCAGAGGACCTGTTTTCACTGGGGCGAGTTCAGGATGTGTGCCCTCTGGGCATGTGTAACACTCCCTTTCCCTGCTCTAGATGTTTCTGTTCTGAGTCAGGGAAATGGGTCCTGAGAGACAGAGAGGTGTGAGCCACGGGAGCCAGGAGATCTGAGGACCAGTTGTGTGAGGAGTCCACTTCATGAATCTTACTGGTTCTCTCAAGGATTTATTTGTAAACAATGAGGATCGTTGTAAACAATGTGGAACATAGAGTAGATTATCTTCTTTTACTATCTCCTCCTTCTTTGCTGAATTGAAGTCTTCATCCAGTATTTTAATGTACATCTTGTATATCCTTTTGTTTTGTAAGGACAAACACCACCATTACACTAGAATCATCATTTTCGTATCGATAGGTTCATAGTGTGAGCTGAACAAATGTCCGATATCCTCTTATTTGTAAAATTGAAAGAATAATATGTAACTTAAAGATTTGCTGTGAAATGAAGTAATGAGTGTATTAAAGTCCATAGCAAAGTGCTTGATATATTTAGAATTTCAAAGTAAATATCAGTTCTCTTTACCCCTCCTCTTGCTTGTTCTTCTCCTTCTTCTTTGATAATCTGTAGCAATTATGGTATAGAAAATTATAGTTGGGTATCAACTAATGCCTTTGTGAAAAGCAAGGAAAACAAAAGCTCACTTTTCTCTAAGGGGACAAGTGGATGAGCCTGACCATTGTATGTGGTGTTATTTCCATGAAGCAAATCAACAAAGACAGAAATGCCAATATAGCTGAATGAGCCTGGAAAGTGGGGATGGATCACATATTTACACATCACACATGCAAAAAATATGGCATTTACTTATTTCTATAAATGATCAAATCTTGTTCCTTAGTCTCTACCCTTCGGAGGTGTTGAATAATTTCTAAGAGTCCAAACAAAGTTAAAACAATGCTGGAGATTTATTTGTCGATCATACAATTTGCGAATTGAACAACACACAGTATGAGACTGGGTATTGCTCCTGAGATTAGACAGTCTGAGGTTTTTATAGTCCAAGTGTCTCTGTCATCTAGTGCTTCTCTAACAGAAATACAACCAGTGGATGGCTTTAGCAAAGAGAAGTTTATTCTCTCACAGTCCAGTAGGCTACAAGTCCAAATTCAGGGCACTCCAGGGGAACGCTTTCTCTGTCGGCTCTGGAGCAAGGTCAACGTCATCAATCTTCCTTTGGTCTGGGAGCTTCTCTGGGCAGGAACCTCAGGACGTGCTCTGCTTCCGGTGGTATGAGGTTCCCATGTGTCTCTGCTCACTTCTCTCTTTTATATCTCAAAAGAGATTGCATGAAGACACTAATCTTGTCAACCTCATCAGTACAACCTCATCACAGTGATAGAATTTACAACACATAAGGAGATCACATATAATCTCATCATAGAAATAGAGTTTACAACACATAAGGAAATCACATCAGATAACACAATCATACAATACTGGGAATCATGACCCAGCCAAGCTGACAGATATTTTTGGGGGACACAACTCAATCCATGACACCAAGGAACAAAGGAAGCCAGGGAAGTCCAAGTGGTTTCGATGAGTCTTTCAATATTCGTCAAAATGTCTCTTGAAATCCTTTCTTCCTCAGAATTGTGTTTGACTAAGAAGAGAAACGACGCAGGTCTGAGGGGTCAGTGCCTGGCGACACCAGCTTGTGTGGAATGTAGGCTATTCTAAGAGTGTTAGTTACACAAAAAGTTAAATAAACAAGCTAGTTATTATCTCTCAAGTTTAGGTTACCTAATGTCTTAAATAATTGCCCTGTGAGACCAGATATTGGCCATGTTCTCTGGACTTGGCAGAAATGTCATCAGTTTCTACATTTTGTTTTAGTCTCCACATAGATTTCTATCCTCCACAGAGGCAAAAGCTCTGCCATTGAAGACATCTCATGGCCTTACAACATATATAAGCTTTGCTTTGGTCAGCAATCTGCCTTTCTTCTTCCCCCATGGATTATGTGAGTTGAAGATTATAGGGCTTTAGCGCAGTGGCAGAGAGGAATGTCTGTGCTCTCTGTTTGTTTCATTTTAAGTTCTTGTCCTGGGCTGGCTGGTCTGATCTGATCCTAAGACCTTTGTGTTGGTGTCTGTTGAGGAGGAGCAGGTCTCATCTGGCCGTTGGGGACATTATTGGTGACCCTCTTCTCTGGAGTGGAGTCCATGGTCTTAGTCACTTGTCTCTGATTGGAAAATAGATGTACTATACTGCTTGTTCCTCCTAACTCCGTACCTCCTGACCCTAGTCCTTCCTGGTTCTCTGGGCATTGTTGTGTCCCCCCACCTCCCATCAGAGCATGTGAAAATTTCTGGGTCTTCAGCTTTCCATATGCAGATCATGATACTCTCAAGATACTTCCTCTGCCAGTGCCCCTGCTGCATGTTGAATGTGAGCGTATTAGTTTTTTATTTTCTGCCATAAGAAATTACCTCTAATTTAGGGGCTTAAAACAATACAAAGTTATTATGTTATAGTTCTATAGGTCAAAAGTCCAACCTGCATCTACTGGGCTAAAATCAAAGTATGGACAAGGCTGCCTTCCTTTCCAGAGGGTCTTGTTTTTTTAGCTTCTAGAGGCTGCCCACATTCCTTCGCTTGTGTTCCCATTCCTTTATCTTCAAAGGGAGTAACACAGCAACTTTCTGTCCCTGCTTTCATTATCCCTCTTTTCTTGACCAAAGCTGGGAAAAGTCTTTACTTTTAAGCATGCATGTGATTCGATTGGCCCACCTGGATCATCCAGGATAGTCTCCTCATCTCAAGGTCCTTAATCTTTATCACATCTGTAAAGTTATTTTTACTACTGTAAAGAAAGTGGCTTCAACAGGTATGTTAGCTAATAATAAATGGGGGTTAGGGACTACAGGAAATCTAGATATCATTCTTTGATTTGTTGCTCTTAAATCTTGACCAAATCTTCAATCTTGATTATTAAGTTTTTGTACCCGGAACACAGGAGTGTTACATGGACTGGTCCAGGGGATTATCAATCCCTTCTGTAAGAAATCCTTGCTAATGTGTGGTAACCCTTTTATGGCCTCAGGGTTTAAGGGGGTATTGAGGAATTTTAGGCAGTTCTCCATCCAGATGGATTGCATTTGACTGGACTTGGCAGATTTAATCCTGCCAATGTCTGTTGAATTAGTGAGCATGTAGGGAGGGGAAACAGGTATGGTAACGTATTCACAGGTGCTGGGAGTTAGGATATAGACATCTTTGGGTGCCAGTATTCTGCCTGCCACAATGGGGTTTCTCCTGGAAGATTATGATGTCTCTGGGCTACTGGAGGAAGCAGATGACTAGATCCAATATTTTTGGGTTCTCCCATGGCTATGCGTGTATTTTTGCTCCCATCACTCTATGAAAAAAGAAAGACAAGCCACTAAAGTCTGACCTCTTACTGTATTTACATGTTTCCTGCTTTGAGCTTCTCTTTCTCCCTTTCTTAGAAATCTCTCATTGTCTCCTAACTTGAGTCAACTTCTGCCATATCCTGAATTCTCTTCACTCATGGCTTATAGTCATTCTGTAAGTTCAGCTCAGTCCGTTTTAATTCTCTCTATCTATTGTTTAGAGGCATCCTACAAATTCAGCTCAATCAGCTCTTGATAAGTAAATGGAGGCCTTGGCAATTTTGATCTCCTCAATTCTTTCTCAGCAGAGCATTGGTTGAAATGTAGTTGCTGGCTAGGAATTGAGAAAGCATAATTTGATAGTTAAAGCTGAGCAATGACCTTTTGTTCAGGTAGGTATCCAGCCTCTCAGTCCTTGGGTGCTAAGCCTTATAGTTTAGCCTTAATGGGAAGGCTGCAAAATTTCATGCAAAGGTTGAGGGTTGTGGGTGTGTGAGAGAAAAACAGAAATAAATACATCAGTTCAATGTTTCCAAAACGTTTCCCCCATAACTCCTGCATCACTATGTTTTGTAAGAAAAGGTGCTGCTCCTGATGTGTAAAGTCTGCAATTCCCTGATATGAAATGTGTGGTTCTCTTATAGATTGGCGGAAGGAGCAGTTCCAGACCTGTGAGTGACTCAAGAGTTCTTTCTGGGAGCTCCTTTTGCCTGCCCCATGGCTTCTAGCCTCCCTTTCAGTTGTCTATGGTAATACAGATACAGGCACCATTGATGGTGGTGGTGTGGGTGGTGGAGGGGACAGTCGTGTAGCTGGTGCTAAAGGGTGTAGCTGATCCTGGATGCGAAATAGATATCCCTGAGCCCCTGGAATCCAGGCTGGTCCTCAAGGGCACTGTGATGGATCTTACCCCCATATCAATCTTTTGGTTTCTTCTCCTGCTTGGAAGGCTGGGGACTTGAATCACTAGGTCTCAGTTCTGGAAGCTTAGCCCCCTCCTCATGCCACTAGGTAGCTTTGAGGGAAAGTGGTTTTGTGCCCTTGTTATGGGGCAGGGGAGGGCCTTGCCTGATTTGGTAACTCTCTTTACAGGGTCTGTCACTCTGGATCCACGTTCGGCCCATCCCAACCTGTCCCTCTCTTATAAAAACATGCGTCTGACCTGGAAGGCCACCTGTGACAAACCGGACAATGACAGATACAGTGTGTTGGGTCTTAAGGGCATCACTTCAGGGCGATGTTACTGGGAGGTGGTAGGCAGAGGTAGATGCATAACTGAATGTGCTGTGGGGGTCTGTAGGGAAGATGTCGATAGGAAAGGCTGGTTTAGACAGTGCCCAGAAGAGGGGTTCTGGGTTGTGGAATGGCATGCAGGTAAGTGTTTCGCCTGTACTACTCCTCCGACAATGCTAACCCTTAGGAAGTTTCCCTTCAAGGTGGGAATTTTTCTGGACTACGATGGTGGCGATATCTCTTTTTACAACATGAGTGATATGTCCCACATTTTCTCCTTCTCTGAGGCTTCCTTCTCTGGGACCCTCTTTCCATATTTCATGTTAAAGTCAAGATACATGTCCCTGACCATCCGCTCCATGGTAGGTGGGCCCAAGGGGCTCCCTGTGTCCCTTAACAAATCTCCTTCTTCTTTGAATGAGCTACTGAGCCCTTCAGGGGAGGGGTTGAGCTCTGGCTCTGGTGGGGATGGTGTTCTCCCAGGGCCTGAATCTCCATTACTCCCCCACAACTCCAAGGCTGTGCCTCCATAGGGACACATCACTGTCCCTGTTCCCTCACTATGCTTTTCTTGGAGCTACAGACTCCCCGAAGTGAAAGACTCTGAGGTGAGTGCTGGAAGACACTGGGAGTCATGCATTTGTGCTTTTGGCTGCAGACTGCTGGGGGACTATGTGGCTCTGAGAACTGCCAGTTCATGTTTTGTGCTTCTATAGCTAAAGGAAAAAAATACGACTTGTTTGAGCTGGTTGAGTGTAGGTAGAATTTGGCTATGGGAAGTCATTTTACTTTGGTGATGAAAAATACTTTGTGAACATTTTATACTGTTTGTATATGAAAGGACAGGGGCTGAATCCCTCTGCAGTATAAAGTTTGCTTTATCCAACTTGATTCTGTTTAGAGTGTAGGGCCCTAGCTCTACTTTGGAGGGAACCTAGGCAATCTGATCAGAAAATGTGCATATTCAAAATTTTCCAGGGATATGGTTGGTTGGCGGACTTCTAAGATGGGAGTTGTCTAATATTCACTTCATATACTTATTCTTGGATGGCTGAAACACACCTATTTTCTCAAATCTGCTGTATATTTCTGTTACCCATGAAAATACTGTGTTGCGTTAATTCAGGAAATTAAGAAGAAGGATCTGGTTCCTCTTTTGGTCAACACTAGGTGGAAAGAAGAGAAATACTAGCCAAATTAAGATGTAAATGGACAGGAGAATTTTCCGGAGCAGGCAATTGCAGAGAGCCTTGGCATGAGCATTGTCTCAGTTATCAGTGTATTGCCTCTTAGTACTTCCAAGTCCAATGCTAGAGGTAAATGGAAAAGCACAGCAACCAAAAAGGGACAGGACTATTGAGTACTGAGACCCTTCAAGAATGAAGGTGTATTCATTCCACCAGGTACTCTGACCAGCTGAGGTTCTGAATGAGGGTGGGGGAAACAAGGAATGAGAAGTAGAAGTCATAGATATCAACTCTAATTTTGTGGCCAGTTGGAGAAACAAGGAGTATAACAGCTTTGCATAATTTAATTTGGGTTCTCATGTGTACCTGTTTATTTGTATATATAAACCATATTTTCTTCTCTCCCCTTATTATTTTATGTACAAGTTGTTGGAGGTTACATTTATTGTACAGAATATGATAACAGAATATCCAATGAACTGTGACTGATTTTAAGGAGTAAATAGTGGTGGTGGATATAATGACGGGAACTTTTTATGAAAAAAAGTTTTTTGTTTTGATATCCTTTTTCGTAAGGATAGGTGGGAAAATAGAGTAGTTTTGTTGCGTGGAAGTTCAAATGTGTGTAAAATGATGTATATGAGAGCTGAGTAACCAAAGTGCCTATTACCATTTTATTGCGTCTCAGTTCCAAATTCACACTGTCTTTGCCCTGCCTTGTGATACTGCAGCTGGACCTTGTAAACATTTCTTCTTTGCCACTGGGCACAATATTAGACACTTATCAGGACACTGGAGATACACTGCAAAATATAGCAGAGAAGAAACTTCTCTTCCTGGTTCTGGGCTTTTCTTCTTTATCCTATAGTGTGGAGGCCCAGTTTTGCTCACCTTTTGGTGAATTTGTCTGCAATTGCTTCTTGATGCTTTCCAGGGAGTCTTACTAGCACCCAGAGGGTAGCTTCCCAGGGAGTGTCACCAGTACCCCAATAGGAGGTTTTTGGCACCAGCCTTGGCCTGTGGCATGTTAGCAAACTTCATCATCCATTGGGCCCCTATTCCTCTTTTTCCAATGAGCTCTGGATGTCAGTGTTGTCAGGGGGCCTGCTCCCAAATTTCTTCCTTTCATGGGTACTCTGTCTCAGCCCTAGAGGTAGTGGCTGTTTCCTATATCTGCTATTTCTGTATTCTTTAGAACTTTCTTTTACCTCTTTCAGTAGTTAAGAACATTTTCCTATTTAATAATTTTTTAACTCGTTTCTTGTTTAGTAGTCTGTTGTGAAACTTCCACATATTTTATATATTCCAATTTTCTTTCTCTTACAAAGTTCTAGTTTCATTGCACTGTGGTCAGAAAAGATACGTTGTATGATTTCAATCTTTTTAAATTTACTGAGACTTGCTTTGTGCCCTAAGATATGGTCTCTTCTGGAGAATGGTCTATATGCACTAGAGAAGAATATATATTGTGCTGTTAGTCAATAATTTTTTACATTAAAATTTTCTCTCTTCAAAAGACTGATACAGTTTCTGTCTCCTTACTGGACCCTGAACTGATATAAGCCTGTAAACCATAATGTTGCTTAGAGAATGGCACAGAATTTCTTACAGTATGTGGGAAAAGGTACTTGAGACACTTAAAAATTTATTAAAAAGTTTCACTCCCACAATAATGTCATGGGCAATATATTTATCGGGGTCTTTGTTGAGTTTTAAGTATGCTCTATATGCTCTATGTGTTAATATAAGGAGCTCTCGTGGCACAATGGTTAAGTGCTTGGCTGCTAACTGAAAGTTCAGTGGTTTGAATCCAGCAGCAACTCTGTGGTAGAAAAGACCTGGCAATCTTCTCCTGTAAACATTACAGCCTAGGAAACCCTGTGGGGCAGTTGTACTCTGTCCTTTAGGGTCACTATGAGTAGGAATCAACTGGACAGAACGCAGCAACAACAACAAAATGCGTTAATATAATGTCCCTAGGTGGTGCAAATTATTGGCGCTTGATTGGTTACCTAAAAGTTGGAGGTTTGAACCCACCCGGTCATAGTGCAGAAGAAAAGCCCTGGCGATCTATTTCCATTAAGATTACAGCCAAGCAAACCCTATGGAGCAGTTCTACTTTGTAACACCTGGGGTCACTATGAGTCAGAATCGACTGGACAGCAACTAAAAATAACAATGTGTTAAGATATTATCTGTCATATTTATCCCCCTTTTCATTTAGCTTGTACCTTTATGACACTATATTACTTTTGGATGAGCTACGGGCATATTCCTTTGAAGAAGTGAGAAAGGAAAGGTATGCAGATGATAGGATTTTATCCACACAAATAGAAGTGTGTAAAAATGGTGTGGGGGCAGTGCCTGACCTCCTCTAACTGCACAAGGGGGAAGGAAAATCAAGATTAGCAGCCCAACCATATGAGATACTCCACTGCTCCCACCCTGTCTGGAGCAAGGGAGAATGAAGAAAACCAAAGACACAAGGGAAAGATGAGTCCAAAACACTAACGGACCACAACTACCACAGCCTCCACCAGACAGTCCAGCACAACTAAATGGTGCCCGGCTACCACCACCAACTGCTCTGACAGGCATCACAATAGAAGGTCCTGAACAGAGTTGGAGAAAAATGTAGAACAAAATTCTAACTCATAAAAAAAAAAAACAGACTTACTGGTCTGACAGAGACTGGAGAAACCCTGAGAGTATGGCCCGCAGACACGCTTTTAACTCAGTATTGAAGCCACTCCTGAGGTTCACTCTTCAGCCGAAGGTTAGACAGGCCCATAGAATAAAACTAGACTAAATGGGCACATAGTCCTTGGGCAAGGACGAGAAGGCAGGAGGAAACGGGAAAGCTGGTAATGGGGAACCCAAGGTCAAGAAGGGGAGAGGGTGGACACGTCGTGGCGTTGGCAGTCAAGGTCACAAAACAGTATGTTTATTAATTGTTTAATGAGAAACTAATTTGTTCTGTAAGCTTTCATTTAAAGCACAAGAAAAAACAAATTAGATTAAAAGAAAAAAAAATCAACTGCCCAAGGCTGATTCCTATGAGGCGAAGGTCAGACACGCTTCCTCTCTCTGCCGTGTCTGCCATCTCTAACACAAACCATCCCTCCCACAGCTCTCTCTACTTCTGTGCTGGGTTCGATAACTCATTGCAATGGCCACACAGAACTCACAGACAATACTTACCATTAAGGGGGTTTATTAGGGTAGTAACAGTTTACAGTTCAGGCTCAGGAACACTCAAGGATACAGTTCTTCCATCAGGACAGACTCTTCCCAGCCATGCTCATAGGCATGCGTCTCCCTGGCCCTATGCCCCTGCCCAAAGGTTCTCAGCTTTCTCTCTCTGTGGGCCAGGAAGCCCACCGTGCTGTCTCCTGCTTCCAACTCTCTGCTGCTTGGTCTCTCTTGCCACTGCTTCTCACCATCTTGAGGGTTACAGCTTGCTCTCTGTCTCCTGGGTGCAGGAATTTCTCAGTGCAGGGATCCCAGGTCCAAAGGATGCTAGGGCTCTTGGCTGTTTCTCCCTTGGTGGTGGTGGGATCTTCTCCCTCCTTCCTCTGGGATGGCTCATTTCAAGACCAGGGGAATGGCAAAACTGACCAATCTCTTTTGTGGGCCACAATTACCCTATCACACAGTCCTGCCCGATCACTTGGGTGGGAGTTACAAAACCACGGCTATAAGGGCCACACAAAAGTGATCCATCACACCACAGAGTGATATTTTTAGACAGGTGGACCAACTGCCTAAGTAATTCCAGAAAGAATGATTAAAGTCATCACTAATGGTAGAGCTTTGTCTGACTTACCCATT